CGTTTCTAATACTCAATTGAGAATGTTTGTTGCTCAATGAAAATGTTTTGATGCTCAAATAAAAACGTTTATGATTTTCATATCAATGCTCATTTTGTAAGTTACGTATGCTCAATTGGAGGATAAGTTTTCTGCAAATTGGGATGGGAAAAAGCTGAAGACAACAATTAAACAGAAAGTGGAGTAGTTCTCAAGGATTGAGAATTAAGATGAAAGACTAGCAGTCTTAAAAACCTTTAGCTAAAAGAGTAAAAGCAGTGTTTTTTATTGAAAACTGGGAAGAGAAGTTATTTTGCTTAACTTATATATGAACTATGCCATGCAAACTTTTGTGATTTTTGAATTATGTGTTGCAAGTTATATTTCAAACTTTCTATTTAGACCAAGCAAGACATTTAGTAAATAGGATTTGTAAAATAGAGGCTTTTTGCTGCTGGATTTACATTATATGATACGAAGTATTATTTTGTGTTTGACTGTTTGGGATTGTTTTTGTTTTGGAGAATGTTTTAAGAGAATATTACCCGAAATAGGACTAAAACAGTTTGAAAATTTCAAAATAGGACTGTCATGTTTTTATTCCCAAAATAGGACTAATTACTGACATATTTTGGTAGTACCAGACTTCAAACATGACAGTATTTTCTAAACATGACAGTAATTAGTCCTATTTTGAGAATAAAATACATGACAGTTCTATTTTGGAATATTGAAAGTGTTTTGGTCCTATTTTAGGAACTTTCCCTTGTTTTAATGCAGGTTTTTTTACTAACAAGGGAAGCAATGGAAATTCAAGAACAATAGAAACAAGTTACAAAATTGGGCATAAGCATATGCAAGAGGGTGGAGACTACTTTACAAAGCTGCTTATCATAGCCTGAGAATCTTTTATATTGTAAAATGGTGCATCTTTAATTATGCTCTTTTCCGGTGTGAGATTCTAACAAACATGTATACCATTTTTTTTTATTACATTAAACAATGAACACTAATTTGTGAGGCTGCTTGAATTGCAAAGAACTAATCACTTCATAAAACTTTATACGGAAATCATTTTACCTCTTAAAAAAATGTCCTATCTTTTCTCAGAGGGAATAAAAAGTTTAATGTATTTAATATGGGTAACTCTTCGGTGCATTGATATTGGAGTATGTTTTGGTGCATTCCACATCAGCTATTTATATAAAGAATTCCGAGATTGCCAAAGTAATCCCTGGATTACGTGATATTTGTAATTCTGTCCTAAAAATATGTCTGGTTCCCCTTCCGCCGTTCTCATCCTTAGAATGACCTTATATGTGTCTCGCTCAACTCATTCAATGGCCTCCGCATCTGCAAAATCTTATCGCCTTTGCCAACCTTATCCCAACTAAACTCCGTAAGCTTCTATTTTAATTTACATTTTTGCTTCCTTAAAATACATCATATTGGGCTAATTTTTGTCTGTTAAAATTATTAACACACATTTTCATTTAGGATTATGAACTGATGTTGTCCTCTGTTTGGCATGGGCAAGATTTGTGAATGTGGTGCGGTGGGTTCTTTCTCTTTATTTTCCATGGAAGTTCTTGTTGGAATAAATCCGATAATACTTTAATCTTCATATTGAAATTATTTAGAGAATTAACTGAGCGGAAGCGTACCTGACTCCATGGGAGATGATCTTTAGGGATCCGGGAGACGGAGGCTAGGGTTTGCGTCTTCTAGCTGATACACACCCTCGGGATTATCTTTCTAACGACGGGATGCAGAAAGACGGAATGACATGTTCAACTAGGGACCATAACCCTTATTTATAAAGAGTGCTTAACCCTAATCAGCCCATCATTGATTAGGTCAAGCTCATGGGTCTCTACACATTTGGGTCCTATACCTTATTAGATAACTTATTAGCCCACTTAAATTAATATCCATAGGACCACTAATTTTTGGGCCTAAATACAAGATAACACATAACATACAATTAAACCCGATAAATAATATACTGTGAATATTACATGTAGTATAAGTCCAATAATCTAACAATCTCCCACTTGGACGACATACACATGTATACACAATCCTTAGAATTGTATGTTTACTTTAGGAGCTCCAAATTTTTGCTATCAAACTGTAGTCATCCTTAATCAATCCGGTCCATTAATTATATCAACATAGGACCAAAGAAGTCTTTGCTATATTTGAATAACTAGACCCATCAATGATCACATATATTAATATAATAAATGACATGGATCAAGTATAGGTGTGTAGCGTGGAAATAACATAAAGTGTGGTCTGGAATAGAATGTCTATTTCCAACTGGTCCACCTTGAGATCAATAATATAACTGTAAAAGTACATAAAACTTTAAACTTTATTTCTGCAGAAAATAACATTAAAACTTGAGTTAACCAAACATAGAAACATTACAAACTCCCACTAAAACTCATAATCCTCAACTGATATGACACCCATTTGAGCAACATGCTCATGAAACACTTTGGGTGGTAATCCTTTAGTGAGCGGATCCGCAATCATGGAGTTTGTGCTAATGTGCTCTATAGATAACTTTCCTTCTTGTACTCGTTCCTTAACAACCTTAAATTTGACCCCAATGTGTTTTGCCTTGGTCAAACTACTGTTGTTCTTAGCATAGAGGACTGTTGATCTATTGTCACACATAGCTTAAGTGGTCTTTTAATGCTGTCCACTATGCGTAGTCCACTAACAAAATCTTGCAGCCATAATGCCTGATTGGATGCCTCATAACATGCTATAAACTCTGCTTCCATGGTGGAAGTAGTTGTAAGAGTCTGCTTGATACTCCTCCAGGAGATAGCTCCTCCAGCTAGAATATAGATGTAGCCTGAAGTGGATCTCAAGCTGTCTTGACATCCAGCAAAATCAGAGTCGGTATACCCAATGACCTCAAGCTGATCCGATCTCCGATATGTGAGCATATATTCCTTTGTTCTCTGTAAATACCGCATGACCCTTTTGGCTGCTTTCCAATGGTCCATTCCCGGATTGCTCAAATATCTGCCTTACATCCCAACAATGTATGCCAAATCGGGTCTTGTACACACCTGGGCATACATCAAACTTCCTACAGCCGAAGCATAAGGAATGTTCCTCATTTCTTTAGATTCAAAATCATTCATAGGGCACTGCATGAGACTAAACTTGTCTCCTTTGGAAACTGGGGTATCTCTTGGTTTGCAGTCTTGCATACCAAACCTTTTGAGAATCTTATCGATATAGCTCTTTTGTGAGAGTCCAAGAATGCCTTTGGAGCAATCTCGGTGAATTTGAATTCCTAATACAAAAGAAGCCTCACCAAGATCTTTCATTTCAAAATTCTTTGAAAGAAATCTCTTAGTTTCATGCAATAAGCCTATATCGTTACTAGCAAGCAGTATGTCATCAACATACAAGACCAAGAAAATATTCTTACTACCACTGAACTTGTGGTATATACAATCATCACTGACATTTGGTTGAAAACCAAAAGATATAATGACTTTATGAAACTTGTGATACCACTGACGAGAAGCCTGTTTGAGTCCATAGATGGATTTCTTTAATTTGCAAACCATTTTCTTTGAATCTCCCGAAACAAAGTTTTCTGGTTGCTCCATATAGATTGATTCCTCAACGTCACCATTGAGAAATGCAGTTTTTACATCCATCTGATGATGCTCAAGATCAAAATGTGCCACTAATGCCATTATTGTTCTAAAAGAGTCTTTCGAGGATACCGGAGAGAAAGTCTCTTTATAGTCAATTCCTTTCTTTTGAGTGTAGCCTTTAGCAACAAGACGAGCTTTAAACCTTGTAACATTGCCCTTTGAATCCCTCTTGATTTTAAATATCCATTTACAACCAATGGGTTTAATACCTTCAGGCAATGAGACTAACTCCCAAACATCATTGCCACTCATAGACTTCATCTCATGTTCTTCTTCAAAGACAAAATCTCTAACCTTATCTCCCCACCCCCCAAACTCAATATCCTCAAAGAACCGGGCATTACCCGTCTCAAAAATAGTCCTGGTAGTGGGATCATAAAATTTATACCCCCTTGACCTCTCAGAGTATCCTACAAAATAGCTACTAACTGTTCTTGAGTCCATTTTCTTTTCATTTGGCCTATAAGGCCTTGCCTCAGTTAGACAACCCCAAACATGGAAATGATTTATACTGGGTTTCTTTCCAGTCCAAATTTCATAAGGGGTTTTAGTTGTAGCTTTAGTGGGAACTCTGTTAAGTATGTAAGCTGCAGTTTTCAGTGCCTCTCCCCAGAGGAAATCTGGTAAAGTAGTATGACAAATCATACTCCTAACCATGTCCTTCAATGTACGGTTTCGTCTCTCAGCAACACTATTCATGCTAGGAGTTCCTGGCATGGTGTATTGAGGAACAATTCCACACTCCTCTAGGAATTTAGCAAAGGGCCCTGGACGTTGTTCACCGGAACCATCATATCTACCATAGTATTCACCACCACGGTCAGATCTAACGGTTTTTATTCTTTTGCCTAATTGGTTTTCAACTTTGGCCTTATAAGATTTGAACACGTCTATTGATTGGGACTTTTCATGAATGAGATAAAGGTAACCATAACGAGAGTAATCATCTATGAATGTGATAAAATATGTTTGGCCCTTTCTACATGGTGTAGGGAATGGTCCACAAATGTCTGTATATATCAATTCCAATAGATCTGAAGCTCTCTCGGCACCTAATCTCCGTTTGTTCGTTTGTTTTCCCTTAACGCACTCAACACAAATATCAGAATTTGAGGAGTCAAGAGAATCAAGAATTCCATCTGACACAAGTCTCTGAATTCTTTCTTTAGAAATATGTCCTAGACGCTTGTGCCAAAGTGAAAACGAATTCTCATTGGTTAATTTTCTTTTAGTACCACGAGTACTTACATGCAAGATTTCATTATATGAGGTATTTATATCAAGTGAATATAGATTATCATAAACTGATAAAAGACGAGTACCAATAAGTTTTGAATCTTGAAATAGACTGAACTGATTATTTCCAAATGAACAAGAATAACCAAATTTGTCCAATGCAGAAATAGAAATTAAATTCCGCCTAAATGACGGCACAACAAATGTCTCTTTCAAATCCAAATCAAAACCAGTCTTTAATAATAATCTAAAAACACCGATAGCCTCAACTTCAACCCATTTTCCATCACCGACATAGATGTATCTTTCACCATCAATTGGTTTTCGGCAGCTCAGGCAACCCTGCATAGATACACTTATGTGAGTAGTAGCACCGGAATCTACCCACCAAGTGTCTTTTGGTACCGAAATTAAATTAACCTCAGAACAAACAAGAGCAAGAGACATACCCTTTTTCGCACGCCAAGCATGTTACTTAGTGCAGTTCTTTTTCTTGTGATTAGTCCCTTTGCAAAAGAAGCATCCAGATTCCTTAGTTTCTTCCTTAGTTTCCTTGTGATGCTTCCTGGGAGGCCCCGAATTTGCAGCTTCCTTAATTTTCCTTTTATTGCTGCCCTTAGAGGTAGATGCCAAATGAGCACTTTCTGTCTTATCTTGCTTTATTCTCTCTTCCTCTTGAACACAATGAGAAATGATCTCATTGAGAGACCATTTCTCCTTAATGCAGTTGTAACTGACTTTAAATTGATTAAATTGAGAAGGAAGAGAGATCAAAACTAAATACACAAGCAATTCCTCAGGTAAAATAAGCTTTAGTGCACTTAGTTTTGAAGCAATGTGAGACATTTCCAAAATGTACTCCCTTATGTTCCCTTTGCCTTTATACTTCATGGAAACAAGAGTGCTCAAAAGAGTACTAGTTTCCGCCTTTTCGTTTTTAGCAAAACGCTTTTCAAGTTCGGCAAGGAACGATGTGGCACCAGCCTCATCAGACATTGTGCCCCTGAATGATTCTGGAATTGCACGTTTCATGATCATTATTCTCATGCGATTTGAGCGTTCCCACCTCTCCATCTCCCTCTTTTCATCGAGGGTAGATGTGTCCTTAAGAGCGGCGGGTTTCTCAGTCCGAAGTGCAAGGTCTAGATCCATGCAACCGAGAACGATCATAACATTCTCTTTCCATTCCTTAAAATTCGTGCCGTTAAGCACTGGGATGCTATTAATATTAGCAGATATTGTAGCAGCAGAATTGTTGACTGAAAGAGAACAAAAAATAATATAAATTATATGCTCTAGGAACTGAAATTAATTTAATAATTAATTAAATATTAGCAATCCCCATCACAAGATACCTAACACAACATCTAATCTTGTCTTTGGACATAAATTAGACTTGCAGGTGGTACTCTTGGTGTAATAATAAAATTTCGATAATAAAATCATGTCAAATACTAAGCCTTTCTTTGGACCGACTTAATATTCACATGAAAACCTCATAATTATCACAAATTTTATTATCACAAATGTACTTAAATTTCAGCCAAATAATAACCTTCCTTTGGGCGGATTATTATCCGCATGAAATAAGAAAGTACACAACCATCTTAATATATGAGTTAATTAATTTCAACAAGAGAGGCTACTTTGGCAGCATGTTGTGTCAATTAAGCAACCCAAATATTAGACATGCTAATATTTAAATCAAAACTGAAAAATAAAATTGGGCGAATTTTTCTGAATCACATGCAAAAGTGTTATGTATATCGATAATTTGTAAAACTCATACCCAATCACTGTGCGATCACAAAATAGGGTTTATACATCCCATAACACACAATAAATATTTTTCAAGCCGTAAGTCATGATCATCAACAAAAGTAATCTATTTCTAAATATGCAATTCTAATAAAACTGATATTACCGTAATCACATATAAGTATTTAATTACCAAAACCATATAAATTTCCAAAATTGAATCATAGCTGAAAGCAAATCAAAGTGGTAAATATACGATCACTAAATATATATTCAACGATTACCCTACTGCTTTTCAAAGCCAAGGTGATTAAATAAGGTGATTCACATAGAAGGTAAAAGAATAATTACTTAATCACCTTCCCAAAAAATAATCAATCATAACATAGACTAATAAAAAACAAAACCAAAAATTGAAAAGTATTGAACTATGCGGCACTTCCTAATTCGGCAATATCAAAATGAAAAAAAAATAATTATTTCCCACTTTATTGATTCTACTAAGTGCCCGTAGATTCATAGGAATTTATCAGATTCCATTCTAACCGGTTACACTCTTGAATTGAAGTGCCAAAAAAAACGATATACAACATGCCATATTCAAAATAGAACTGATTCGGCCGAGATACACATTATATACGAAATCCCAACTGTAAATTGTAAGCAGATTTGAGACGGAGAGTTCAAAAACGTTTGATCCGGCAAGTCATCAACTACCGATTCAACATATGAATACATTAGGAACGAATTGTATAAAAGCAAAATCGCATTACCCTGATTCCATCTCATCGGCGGATCATATGACAAAAGAATATTCCAGAAAATCAATCGTTTAAGATTGAAAACAAAAGTATGAATACTCCAAATAATTCAATATGAAAGAGGCTCTGATACCAATTGTTGGAATAAATCCGATAATACTTTAATCTTCATATTGAAATTATTTAGAGAATTAACTGAGCGGAAGCGTACCTGACTCCATGGGAGATGATCTTTAGGGATCCGGGAGACGGAGGCTAGGGTTTGCGTCTTCTAGCTGATACACACCCTCGGGATTATCTTTCTAACGATGGGATGCAGAAAGACGGAATGACATGTTCAACTAGGGACCATAACCCTTATTTATAAAGAGTGCTTAACCCTAATCAGCCCATCATTGATTAGGTCAAGCCCATGGGTCTCTACACATTTGGGTCCTATACCTTATTAGATAACTTATTAGCCCACTTAAATTAATATCCATAGGACCACTAATTTTTGGGCCTAAATATAAGATAACACATAACATACAATTAAACCCGATAAATAATATACTGTGAATATTACATCTAGTATAAGTCCAATAATCTAACAGTTCTACTCATCGATCTGGTGTTATTGCTGGTGGGTGTTAATAGAGAGTTGTGCCTAGGAGGTGCATGAAACTATGGAAGAGGATTTTCAAATAGGAACCTTTTTCTGAAATTGTCAATAGATGTAAATATGTATATATGATTTAGTTCAATCTTATTAATCTTATATGTATACATGATTCAATTTTATGACATTATTTGCTTGTGCTAAAACTATTTGTTTTATGATAATATGAGTTTGAAGCACTTATATTATCCCAACAATTTCTTTGCTTCAAAACTTCTCCTATTTACTTCTATTTATTCACTTTCCTTAGCATTCCTAAGTTCCTAACGATCCCTAAAAGTTTTTGTTTAAGTTTTATGGTTTACCATTTGATGTATCAATGATAATGCAGATGCTTAATGACTTTGTTAATGTTATCAAAGATGAGAAGCAAATGATGCACCTCTGGAATTTTTTTATATGAAGCACAGGTCAGCTGCTGCCTTGAGCTTATCATATGAAGGCATTTTTTCTACTGAAACATATTATTTGCTCTCTTTTCATATGCCATATAAAGTCGGGCATAGTCTAAATCACTGAGTATAGCTCGTTTAGCATTACAAATTTACAATGCAATTGCCAAAATGAATTCCAAAATGAGATGAACATTTTTTCAAGTAATGGCTAAATGATGAGCAATTTGATTGGTTACTGTAAATATCAAATTCTTATTGGATTTTTTTTGGGTTTTGTTGTTCACTTCTTGCTGCAGGCAGCAGGTTTAAGGGCTTGGTAAAAAAATTATCGTGTGCTCCTTTTGTGTGGAGTTAAAACTTTGAGGGATATGATGAAATAAATAATCTGAAATGTGATATGATATGGTGGCTTACTATCAACCTGTTTGACATAAATTGTTAGAGAAGCCATTTGGGATTGATTTGGCTTAGTCGGTTGGAGTTGGACGGGGCTGTCCTCTAACACTTTTCAGGAATGGCTGTAGCTGAATTTCAGTTCTAAGAAGAAGAAGACCTTTGTAAATTAATTTAGAGCTTCTGGGGTTTATGGTGTGAGCGAAACGAACGAGTATGGAACAGTGCTAGAGCTGAGGAGAAGCAGATCATGCAGCGGGCAGCATCTTTTGTGGAGGGCTAGCTCCAAGCGCAGCATACTGGCAGGCTGCAAATCTCTTCCAGGCAGCCCGGTATCTCCAGTTGGAAGAGGCCAAGTGAGGGGCGTTTAAAACTAAATGCTGATGCTTCGATCCGAGCTGATAGGTGTGGCCTAGGTTGGATTCATACTGGTGCCTTCATTGCAGGGGTAGCAGCGCCTTGGTCGGGAAAATTGACTTTGTTGGAGGCCGAATTAATGGGTATTAGGGAGGCACTTAGTTGGCCAAAATCAAACGAGCGGGATTTGGATATTGAATCTAATTCTCCGCGGGCTGTTTTAGAGATCCAAGCAGGATGAAGCTTATCTGCAGCAGGCTTATTGGCTGAGGATATCAGGGAATTTGGCTCTAGTTTTACAAGCATTTCATTAGGTCATGTTCGACGATCAGCGAATAAGGCAATCCATGAATTTGCCAAGGTTGCGGTTTCTTTGTCTACTTGTCAAGAATGTTTTTTTTATGAGAAATTTACCTAAATAGGACTAAAACTTATGAAAAAATCCACCGTAGGACTATCACTTTTCTGTTTAACACCATAGGACTAAAATATAGATGGAATACCAAAACTGCCCTGCAAAGCCACCTTTCTTCCGTTCGCGACTTATGAAGGTTGCGCTGAAGGATGTCTCTGCATCACCTCTGCAACTTCCCCAGATAAGTTTCTTCTTCTTCTTCTTCTTCTTCTTCTTTAATGCTTCTATATTTTCTTTCTTCCACTTTTACTCTTTTCTTCTCTTTTGGATATTCATTTTTTTTATAAATTCCATCTAATTCACTTTAAATCGTTCATACTATTTTTCTCACCAATTGGACATGAAAATGGCATAATTGCTATGTTATTCAACACTGATTTGGAAAAAATGTCACTGTCTTGACATTACATTTACCAGGATGACAGTTTTTATTTGACATTTCTAAAGAGTAAAAATGACACCAACTTGACATTCTCCACGACTGTCATGTTTTTATATATGAAAATGTCATCTCCATGACATTTTGAGAACAAAGATGACATTTTTTACAAAACAGAGTAAGAAGAAGAAGAAATCAGATGAGGAAGAGGAATCTGGGAGGTAATGTTCGAATGTGAAGAGGATGAGAGAAAAGGAAAGAGAGACAGAGAACATAAGGGGAGTAGCAGAACAACCCGGAGTTCTGGACTGGACGTCGTAGAGAAGGATCAATTGTTGAGGTGCAGGAAGAGATGATCGCTATTGGAATTGCAGGGGAGAGGATTGATTTGAGGTTGCAGGATAAGAGGATTGATGTTGGAGTTGCAGGAGAAGAGCATGACGCAGAAGATGAAGGAGATCGTCGCTGGAGGCGGAGAAAAGGATACACACAAGGACATTTTAGACTTTGTGGAAAACGTAAAAACTGATAATAGGAGCGGATGACTCCTATATGAAGGATAAAACATATTAAGTCCTAATTTGAGTTTTTATCTATGTTTTAGTCTTATTTAGGACAATTACTTTTTTTTTATTTCCCTTTTTTTGTTGCTCAAGTTGTAAACTACGATCTTATTAATACAAGTTAAGTTTGTTATCCTCAAAAAAACTGAATACATTAATTTATGATATTAGAGTATTATATTAATCAATACTAATGCTAATTGTAACTAATATAAATACCATATTGTAGTATCATAGACTCATAGTAATGCGACTAATATACTAATAGTAATATTAGTACATATTGTTTTGTTACTATTACTATTACTATTACTATTACTATTACTATTACTATTACTATTACTATTACTATTACTATTACTATTACTATTACTATTACTATTACTATTACTATTACTATTACTATTAATATTACTATTACTACTACTACTACTACTACTACTACTACTAGTATTTCACCCGTGCGTTGCACGGCCGATATACATGGTCATGCAATATTAGAAACAATAATTTTTATACGAAAAAATAATATCAAATAATTTAATGCGTAATTGATGACCATCAAGAAGATTTCAAAGCAGTAACAATAATTAATATCCAAAAAAATTGCAGGTTCTTCCACACTTCTTTGTACACAGCATTTGTGGTCTCATTTGTTGTTTTCTCGTTATTGTCAACAATTAAAATTTTCAACCCCTTCGGATTAGTAACCCTAGAAATTGCTACATATAGTTGCCCATGACTAAAAACGGGGTTCTTTAACAATAATCCAACATGTGAAAGAGATTGCCCTTGACTTTTATTTATTGTCATGTCATAATAAGCAATCATGATAGGAAATTGTCTCCGCTGAAACTTGAAGGGAAGTCTGACATCAGATGGAGTCAATGATAATCTTGGAATTAGCACCTCTTGACCCATACTTCTACCGGTGAGAACTCTTGCCCCTAATATGTGGTCACCAAACCTTGTTAGTATAAGTCTTGCTCCATTGCACAAATCCATAGAATGATCTATATTCCGAAGAAGCATGACCAGCGTCCCAACTTATAAAGTTAACTCATCATTAATTCGCTGTAAGTTTCCTCATAGTAATATACTAATAGTAATATTAGTACATATTGCTGTTGTTATTAATAGTAATATACTAATAGTAATATTAGTTCTCAACCTTTTCTTGAATTTTTGGGCATGATTAATCGTCACCCCTCTGAAAAGGAAACATACAGTCATTATTAAATTCAACCGATCCAATATTTCCTCATAAAGTGTACATGCAATCAAGATTTACATTTAAAGGGCCGCCTATGTAACTTAACTGATTCACGATTTCCTCCAAATCCTTCAATGGAATTCCTCCTATTGAATCTAGGTAGTAGACTGTTTGAGCCGCTATGTCGATGGCGACCAACACCCAATGATTCCTACATAACAAGGAAACTATATGTAAATATCTCTTAGAAAAGAACCATTGTTTGCAAACAGAAGTCATTTGCCAAAGGCACTATCAGCAGGACACAAAAAGTTTGCAAAAGAGATTACTTACCTGGTAATATAGATGATTAAAGTCATTTGTCCAAGTAAGGAAATATCCAAAAGATCGGCTATATATTGTGACCTCCTAGTAACCGCTTGGTGTGATGCCTTCTTTGGTATTGCTATGGTAGCAGAAGTACCAAACTGGACTAGCATGTCTCCTCCATCAGCCTCCATTTTCTCATGCAAGTACTTATTAAGTCATTACTCATCAAGTTGAATTAAGTTCATTTCATTCCAAATGGGGACTTATTACAGTAAGATACTAGTAATTTGAGTTATATTACTCATGCAAGTTATCATTCATTTTGATGTCTATAGTAAGATACTATTACCGCTTCATACTTTAATACAATAATGATTTTAAATAACCTAAATTTAATATATACCAAATGGGAACTTATTATCTCGCCCAAATTTCAACAACTGAATTTGAAACCCGCTCAAAGTTGATAACAAAGTGGCAAACCTACTTGTTAAAGATAGATTTTGTTCCAAAAATTTCTGGCATCTTGCTTGATGCAGTTCATCTCTCCTAGACAATTTTCCACTAAAATGCAAAACGTTGTCATGTTAGCCTTTTGTTCTTTTCTTTTTTCAGCAATGGACCTAGTCATTCGTTGCACATTTAGTGGGGACTTAGCTTTCATTCCAGTCCTTCTGTCTTTCACAAATACCACATCACACCCCTCTTTTTCTTTTCCCTCCACTCGTTCTGTCATTCGTTCTCCATATTTGCTATTGACTGATCTTTTCCCTTTTCGGGCTGTGCAAGAGACCGATCTTCCTCGTCATTCATATCCTGTATATAGCACAGAGTGTGCATGTACTTTACAAACATTACTATCGCATTTAATCAAACAAAAATATGCAACTTAACTAGGCGTCTAATCATATCATGGGAGTGAGCATTGGCTTGTCCTAAAGTATCATTGGTTATGTGTTGAGGGGATCTTCTGGGAACGCTTCCAAATAGCTTCTTACGATGAGTAAATATTGGTTTCTCCACCTCTCCAACAGTCTATATCATAGAAGTTAACTATTTATTAATAATGATAGCTCATTAAACATCCACTTTGAGATGTAGTTGTACATACCTTGCGCCTTCCACGACTCTCACCCTCGGGTTGTTCATTATTACCCTCCATTTGACTTGAACCCGGGAGATTTTCTAGGAGCACTGCAGCGTTCCTTCATAGGACTAAGCACGACTGTTCAACCTCTCCACCAGCCTTAAAATGATAAATACGTATTAATAATAAAAGTGTAAATAAGGTGCAAAAATATCTACTACAGTTATGTGTGTACCTTTCTTTTCATAGATTTATTGGCATCACTGCAATTGCCAATTTCACTAAAAGCATTGGACACATGATCTTTCATTTCACCAAACTTCTGCAACATCATCGCATATCCATCACATACTTGTTGTACTTTGTCCTTCTCGTTTATGGTTGCATTTGGCGTGTGAAAGTATGGTGTTGGGGTAATGAAGTGCCCCAAACCCTGTACTCTACTGCCATTTGGTTTTTTCTGAAGAGCAACTGAGAGCACATCGTTATCTCCACAAGGCACAAATGATCCTTCGTTCACCTTATTTTTCAGCTCCTTCTACACAAACAAACATGTTACATCAGAGCATTACTAGAGCATTACCAAATTATGTCAAACACCGTCTTTTTTGTTCTAAAAAGAGCATAAAAAGAGTCAATTAATTGACCTCAATACATTGGGAATCAGACTTGATTATTACTAAAAGATACATGTTCATATTCATAAAATTATTAAACCCTTACTATTTCTTCTGCAACTTCCAAAACCTTATGATCATATCCACCATCTTTTCTTTCTCTTCCCAAGAGCCATGTATCCGCTCGATCAATGTCGTTGACATTATTTCCAAGTTGTTCTTTCTTTCAGTTTTGAAAAGAGAAAAGGTAAATCATCCAAATACTCATATACACAACCGAATGCTAAAAAATGGAAGATTAGAATAACCCTTCTTTATAAGTAACCCTCCTGATGGAGTATATGGCCCAGGGACCCCGGTCCACAAACTTCTACTTCTACTGCTCAGGCCCATCAAGCCCAATGAGCACACAAAGCCCAGACATAGCGGCCCAAGTATCAGGAAGCCCACAAATACACATGTAAGTGCCTTCGGCCTCCTTGGCCGAGGACTCCAAATTCCACAGAACAGCTTCATTTGAGCACACAAAGCTACTGGGAGAAAACGACAGAAATCAGGAGCCTTCGGCTCATAGACGCCCTTGACATGAGGATAGCCTTCGGCTACATGTCTAAACATAGTAATCATCGAAGATTCCCTTTGGGGACAGACGACCACCGCATTTAATGCGGCGTCACATCCACCCACCGCATTTAATGCGGTGCACACGCGTATGCCGGTGCCACCC